TGTAGTTTTGGTTATTTTAGCTACATTGTAAGCCCTGAAATTTGGTAAAATGATGCCTCCCACTTTACAAATAAGAAAAAAAAATGTTTTCTTAGCTATTCTAAGTCCTTTGCCTTCACATATAAATTTTTTAGTTGTCTGTACTGGCTGTGTCTTAAAGATCTTGCTGGAGTTTTCCTTAACCCCGTATATAGTTTTGGAGAGAGAATTTTCTTAGTGTTGTTGAGTCTTCTATCAATGAATATGATTCCTCTATTTAATCTCTCTTTGTATTTCTTTCGTCAGCATTTTATAGTTTTTAACATACTAGTTATGTGCACATTTTGTTAAATTTAATATTTTCATTTGCTTTGGAGTAGATATAAATGCATGGTGGCTTTCCTTTCTTCAGGTAAATTTTTTTTTTTTCTCAAGACAGGGTTTTCCTGTGTTGTTTTGGTTTCTGTCCTGGATCTCTCTCTCTGTAGATCAGGCTGGCCTCAAACTCACAGAGATCCGCCTGACTCTGCCTCCCAAGTGCTGGGATTAAAAGCTTGTACCACCACTGCCTGGCTGGGTAAATTTTTAAAAGTTAACTTTTAGTGTGCTGAAGAGATGGCTCAGGAGTAAAGAGTGTATATTGCTCTTCCAGAAGACCTAAGTTCAGCTCCCAGCACTAATTTTGAGTATCTTCTAACTACCTATAACTCCAGCTCCAAGGGATCCAGTGCCCTCTTTTGGTCTCTGTGAGCACTTACATACTTGCACATACCTTCACATACCTTCATATAGACAAACACTTATACAGATAATTAAAAATAAAAATCTTAAAATAACTTTAGAATTAGAGAAAATTGGTAATGATAGTGCAGAATCTCTGTATATTCAATACTGACTTTTCTCCATGTAGTACATCTCCTTTGCTGTTGATAAAACACCATGACCAAGGCAGCTTACAAAAGAAAACATCTTAATTGGGCTTATGGTGTCAGAGGGTTAGAGTCCGTGATAGTGAAGCAAACTCATGGCAGCTGAAACAACTGAGAGCTCACAGGAGGCAGAGAACCCTCAAAGCCTGCGCCCACTGACACACCTCCTCCAATAAGGCCTAATCTTTCCCAAACAGTTCCACTAACTAGGGACCAAGTCTTCAAAGATGTGAGCCTGTGGGGGGCCATTATTCAAACTACCATGCCCTATTAACATAGCAGCATGATGTTCTTCTTACAATTAAGAAACTAGTATGAATTAACTGTAGTGCTGAATTTGTTTAGATTTCTTTTGCTTTTACTGGCTGTATTAAATCTGTACCACATGTTTTGTGGTAAATTTTTCTTTAGGCTCATTTTATCTATGGTAGTTCATCATACTTCATTATCTCGTTGATGTTGGTAATTTGACCAAGCTAGGATCTGTCAGGGTTCTACTCTGTGAAGTTCTATTCTTTCCATATTTAGTCTGTGGAAGGAAGTCATTGTGCATGGCCCACAGTATTAGGAGTGGGAAAGTATGTTCTCCAACCTGGATTGTGGAGTTTTATGTAGTTTATTTAGTCTTTATTTCTTGCTCATTCACCCATTTGTTTATCTCTCAGCATGAACTAGTGGCTATTTTATTACTTTGTCTTGTAAGTCAGATTTCTTTGCTGTTTTGTAGTCCTAAGGATCAAATTTAAGATCTCACAGGTGTAGGCAAGAATGCTAGCAACCACTGAGCTATTCTACCAGCCCTTTGCTTATAATTTAATACTGTGTTTAATTTGATACATCAGTTAACTAATTTACTGTTTTTTATTGGTCATTGGGGGCTCTTTGAGTTGTTCATATTCCCAGGTGCCACGTACCCAGAATTCTGTGTGTTTATGTGTTGACTTTCCTCAGTTTTATTTAGTCTATTTCTTACTTTCTGGTGCTCCAAGATGCTTCAGGCTTAACTTATCTGTGTTTTATATCAGCCAGAGAATCAGCCATTTTTGTGTTTTTATCAGCAACTGATAATTCTCAGTCACTTGGATTTTAGCCTTTGGAATAGATGTAGAATGCCATCTCCTTGTTTTAATTTGATTTTCCCTTTACTGAGCTTTGTTTTCATTTACATCTTTTTCAGTGTTTATCTTTTTGGCAGTACAACTTCATATCTTTTGCCCATATTTAGCTGGGTGCTCTTAAGAGTTCTTTGTATATTTTAGATACAAGTGTTAACAATATAGCGTTTTCATTTTTAAAATGTATCTTCTTTAGAAGTGTTTAATAAAGCTTGTTATTTTTCTTTTATGGCTATAGGAGTTTCATTTTTAAAATGCCTTTTTTTTTTTTTTTTTTTTTTTTTTTTTTTTTTTTTGGTCTAAAACCTCATTGCCAAGCCTCAAGATCAACAAACACATTTTGTGTTTTGCTGTTTGGTTTTCCTCTTTTGCACACTAGTTGAAAAGGAATTGTTAGTCAATTGCCTTTCCTTTTCTGTCATGGATTAGGTAATTATGTTTGTATTGGTTTGTTTCTAAACTGTTCTATTGGCCATGCATGTGTTCTTTTGTCTGATAGCATGCTGCCGTGATAATGCTGCCGTGATAGCTTTCAGTTTAAGTCTTAGTAGTAGATAATGAGTTTTCCAATTTTGCTCTCAGTATGGTATTTACTATTTTAAGTTGTTTGATATTCCATATATACATTGACTGAGTGTGGTAATGCCTGTAATCCCATCTATTTAGAAGACTGAGATAGGAGAATCACCAGCCTGAGCTATGCACAGTAAATCCAAAGTTTTGAAAATGAAAATTGGGCTGAAGATATGGCACTGTGTTCAATCCCTATTATATATTGGGAGAATATTTTGGAAGTGTTCGAGTTAAGACTTAGTCATATTGTGCTTGATGGATCTAATTGTGTTTGAGTTTACTGAAAAATTAGAAGTTAAATTATTTCCTTTTGGGGGAGAAGACAATATAGTTAAGTTTGAGCTTGTCACTGGGGGGATGCTTTCTAATTATATGGCTTTTGTGCTTATCATATTTAAGCTTCACTTCTTAAAATTGTTAGTAGCATTAAGAGAGAATGTCTAGTATGTGTAGCAGGTGGTTATCACAATGCTTGATATTTGGTAAGCATTCAGAAACTATTATTCTTTTGTTTTAGCCAGAAGTTGTCTTTTAGACTTGATACTATACATAGATAATTATGTGTACTATTATTGTAGGGTTCTTTGTTGATGAATACTCTGGGATGGTAGTGAAACAGAGACAATCCCTCATGTTCTTTTTAGGAGGCAAATATAGTTATGTGAGGGCTGGTAATATTTTGGAGGTGAAGTGCCAACCTTCAGCCTTCCTTTTCTCCTAATTTTCAGAAACTGTTGTGTGAAATATTGGCAGAGGTGCCTTTAGGGCAACTCTTTATTGCCTAGGGCTACCCTTAGATTCTTACTATCTGATATGACATGAACATATTCTTTAATTCTTTTCTACTCCTTTTTGTATACTTGTAGTTTTAAGTGTTACAGATTTCGTCCCCTTTATGTTTATTAGATTTGAATCTTGTTAGCATTGGTACAAGTCAGATGCCCATTATGTTCTTACTACAGTTACATACAGAAGCTCCCTCGCTGGATCTTTTACTTCCTAGTAGTCGGGGCTGTGCCCGCTGTACCATGCTCTTGGCCGTGTTAACGTCTTTTCCTATTGTATTGCTTATTTTCAAGCTGCTTTACCAGGATTTAACTTCCCCATTTTAGATGTGCAAACAGTTCAGAGTCAATAAGTGTCCAGTGGGACATATTTTAATTCTGTTTACTCATAAAAGCATTAAGTTCCTTTATTTCTTGATTTACAGTTTGCTATCCTCTCTAGTAAGTTTCTTGAAGTTAAATTCTGTATTATTGATATTTTGTTATATCATCTTTTCATTGTATAGGAAGAAGTTAATTTATTTTTCTTCAAAGGTTTTCTTTACCAGATTAAACAATATAAGGCATTCCTCTGTTCCATAAATCTTTTAATGTCTTTTTTAAAAAATTGTACTTTCTTTTTATGTGTATAGGTATTTTGCTTGCAAGTATGTTTGTACACCCCATGAGTCCCTTGTGTTGGAGGAGGCCAGAAGAAGGCAATTGGATCCTTTGGAATTGGAGTTATAGTTGGGTGTTGGGAAGAGCAGTCGGTGTTGTCCTTACTGCTGAACCATCTCTCCAGCCCCTATCTATTGATGTCTTAATGTGTCATCCAAATGAATTTGACATATACTGTTTTGTGCTTGTACATTTCAGAATGACTGACCTTGGTTTTCTGTAGATTTTAACTTGACTGGAACTTTGATTACTCAAAATGGTATAGGTGGGGACACTGTAGACTGAGTCAGAAATGTGGAAGATTGAAAGTGGGTTTGGTTCTATATTGGGCACGTGTCTGTCTATGTGTGTATGTATGCTAAGTGTTTCATTTAGTGAACCATACTTAACCCACGTAAACTTATATGAGCAGTCATCTTTTCCTTAAGGCATTCAGATTTTTGTGCATTCCAGTTTTATCAACTAGTCAAGTGAGCTAATAGACTAGTTGGTTTCTCAAGTTCTTCTGAGTTCTCTAATTTTTGCTGTTTCAGGTGAAAAATGTATAAGGGTCCAAATATTTAGGTATTGTAACTGATAGCCAAAGAATAAGGCCTGTTTTATACTTTAGTTCTTTTGTGTTTTATAAAGAAAACTCCATTCAGGTGTGTGCATGTAGACAAACACGTTTATTATCTATGGAAGTTACTCTTTCCCTTCATTGCCTGGGCTGTTTGCTCATTTGTTTTAGGGTTAGGCTCTTTATTCCCACCTTCTGACTTTGGTGTACTGACCTTTATGGAGGAAGACAGAGTTTGATAAGTGTGTAACCGTGCTGTTGTGAGAGAACTTGATGAGTGTTTGTTTCTCTGTGCTGCTAATAAGTGGACAGGGTGCAGAAATACCAAGGAAGTGTCTGTGTAAGGGATCTGGTAGATGATTTGCTGTTGAGTAACATTTGGTCTTTGTTTTCATTTAAGTACCAAGGATGATATTGATTTTGGCGCCTTGGCTGCAGAAATAGAAGGAGCTGGTGCTGCCAAGGAACAGGAGCCTCAGAAATCAAAGGGGAAGAAGAAAAAGGAGAAAAAGAAGCAAGACTTTGAGTATGTTTTTAAAAAAACATTCCATTTTTCATATCTTGAGTACTGGAGTCATCTAATGATTTCAGTACTTCAAAATGTATTTTCTTCCTTTTCTAGTGAGAATGATATTCTGAGAGAACTGGAAGAATTGTCTCTGGAAGCCCAAGGCATCAGAGCTGACAGAGAAGCTGCTCCAGTCAAGGTGAAAGCTGTTACCATCATGTCTCCCACTCTGTTTTCTTCGTAGTGCTGTTTTAGGAGCTGCACGGGGATCCTGTGATTGTAGATAGGTTCATAGTTTTTACAAAACAGGTCAAAGGAAGGAACCAAGTAGTCTGAAAGACGCCATATGCTTAGAGCCTTTGACAAATAAATTTTGGGAATCTAGGCGTACTTAATGTTGTATTGCCTATTGATAAAATTGGTACATTCGGGGACAGTGATGACATTTCCCACCTCCACCTTCCATTTTCTACGTTATATTTCATTACTGTTTCAGGGTACATGGATTTTGAGATGTATGGTGAATATGAGTTGTGTAATAGGCCTACACGAGTGTCTATTGTGTGGTTGGATTTTTTCTATTTTTTTCTTTTTAGATTTATTTATTTTATGTGTATGAATGTTTTGCCTGCATATATGTATGTACACCATATGTGTGCCTGGTGCCCATGGAGGTCAGAGAGAGGGCATCAGATCCATTGGAGGAGTTATAGATGGTTGTGAGCTGACATGTGGGTGCGGGAACCAAACCTGGGTCCTTTGCAAGAGCAACAATTGCTCTTAACTCCTTAGCTGTATCTCCTGCCTCGCCCCATACTTTAATATTTTTATAAAACAAGACAAAAAATCGTGCTTCCAAGCCAGGCGGTTGTGGTGGTGCACGCCTTTAATCCCAGCACCCGGGAGGCAGAAACAGGCAGATCTCTGTGAGTTTGAGGCCATCCTGGTTTACAGAGCAGGTTTCAGGATAACCAGGGTGACACAGAGAAACCTTGTCTTGAAAAACAAAATCATGCTTCCATGAAATGCATTTAAAAATGTGTACTGAGGGAAGTACTTGACTCTGGGGAGGTCCTCATTATTTTTAAGGGATGACAATCTGTTGATATTTCTAACAAGGGAAACTTTTTAGCCTACAGAAAACAATGAAGAAGAATCTGCCTCAAAACAAGATAAAAAGAAGAAAGGACAGAAGGGCAAAAAAACAAGTTTTGATGATAATGATAGTGAAGAATTGGAAGATAAAGACTCAAAATCAAAAAAGACTGCAAAATCTAAAGTGGAAATATTCTCCGGGAGTGATGATGATGATGATTCTAATAAACTTTCTAAGAAAGCTAAAAAAGCTCAGAAATCAAATAAAAAATGGGATGAATCAGAAGAGGATGAAGATAATAGTAAAAGAAGTAAAGAGCGTTCTAGAGTAAACTCTTCGGGTGAAAGTGGTGGTGAATCAGATGAATTTTTGCATTCCAGAAAAGGACAGAAAAAAAAAATCAGAAAAACAAGCCACTTCCTAATGTTGAGAGTGGGAATGAAGATGATGACTCCTTCAAAATTAAGACAGTGGCCCAAAAGAAGGCAGAAAAGAAAGAGCGTGAGAAAAAAAAGAGAGATGAAGAAAAAATGAAATTGCGGAAGTTGAAAGAAAAAGAAGAGCTAGAAAAAGGAAAAAAGGACCAGAGTAAACAGAAAGAACCTCAGAAGAAATCTGAAGAGGAAGGTTTGAAACTCAAAGAGACTCCTGATACAGGAGCTGCCTCTGAGGAGAAAGGAGACACTACCACTGTAGAAGGTTGGTAATAACCACAAAAGAAAGCCTTTGGCTCATGTCTAGTCTAAGTTGTGATCATGGTGCTGTGATAGTATTTTGTGACATGTATGTGTGAGTACACTCCCCTGTGCATTCGGATATGGAGGCCAGGGGCCAATTTTAGGTCCCTACCGCCATCACAATCCATCCTACATTTTAAAGAAATTATCTTTTTATTCTTTGAGATTATAATATCATGACATTTCTCCCTTCTCTTTCTTCCTTCTAAACCTTTCCACATATGCCTGTTTGCTCTCTTTCAAATTCATGGCCTATTTTTTTTTTCATTACTTGCTGTGTGATTGTCTCTCCCAGGAGTGTCAGAAACTACACTCTTAAAGTGTCACCAGCATGACTGCTTAAACATGAGTTGAATAAGGACAGCAACAAATAAACATGCTAATAGGGAAGGGCAAGCTCATGCCTCATCCCTGCACGAAGAACTACCAGCCACTAAGGAATGCTGCAATCATGATCAATAGTCTTCGATCTTACTTTTTCAGACAGGCTATCTCACTGATGATAGAGTTAGTGTTTCAGCCAGGTTGGTGGAGCTTCGGGGTCCATGTCTCTCTCTGCCTTCCCTTGTATTGGATTTACAAATGTGTGCTGCCATGCCTGGCTTTTTAAGTAGTTGGGGATATGATCTGAATTCCTCATGTTTGCATGGCAAGCACTTTACTCATTAAACCATTTCTCCAGGCTGTTTATTTATACATTAGAAATTTAATAAAAATTTATTATGACTATTTTTGCTATTAATGATGACTAAGTGGCCAAAGAAAAAATTTCCTTCCCAAAACTCATGTCAGATGATATCTCTAAATTCTTTCCTTTTTTATTAAAAACAAAACAGTTTAACTTGTGAAATAGAAAAGTAAAAAATAAATTAAGAGACTTAAATTAGTTAAATCACTTAGGTGGTAATGATCACATTTTTGTTTCTCTTTTTTTAAAAATAAATTTATTTCATTTATTCATTTTTTTTTTAATGTGTGGGCGTACATGTGCCACATTGTATGTGTAGAGGTCAGAGAGGACCACTTTTAGAAGTCAGTTCTCTATTACCATGTCAGTTCCAGGGATCAGACGCTGTTAGACTTGGCAGCAATCCCCTTTACTTGCTGAACCATGTTACTGGCCCCTCTTTTGTCTTTTTCAGTAGTTGAAATAAATTGATCAGTAATTGAAATCTAAACATCCTAGCTGATTGCTTTCTCTTAGAATAAATATATCTAAATATTAGGTGGTTTAGATTTTTTTAAAAGAATAGCTTTTTCTTAGATTAGAAAGCTTTTAGTCAAAAAAACCCAATGACCTAAGTTTTTAGCTACTGAAAGTTTTATTGTCTGAATTTTGAGGAGAAACACTGTCACAGGAATATCACCAACTTTCTTTAGTGTTTTTTTTTTTTTAATATGTATTATGTGTACAGTGTTCCACCTGCATGTATTCCTGAAGGCCAGAAGAGGGCACCAGACCTCATTATTGGTGGTTGTGAGCCACCATATGGTTGCTGGGAATTGAAGCCAGTGCTCTTAACTTCTGAGCCATCTCTTCAATGTTTTTGAAGTATAATTATATTTTTGTATTTTGTTTGAATATCCCCATATTCTAGTTATCATTTTCATCATCCCCATTTAACAGAAGTGTTATAGCAACTAAATGGGTGTAAGCTAAGCTGATTTTTTTTTTTTTTTTTTTTTTAGAATTTCAGTCATGTGCTGTGATTACCAAACTGAGAGATATCTGAAATGCAATGTCTTGTTGCCTTTTTGCTGCTGACAGGGTCTGTGTGTCATCTTGTGTTCATTGGATGTCTCAGAACAATGCTAGCATTGCAGGTGCCCCAGTGGCCAGCTATGATGTCTGTTGTACTGGTACTGATGGATTGAGGCACTCCAGTCTCAGGACACCGTGCTGCATGTCACTCCAGTGCACCGGCCTCAGAAGCTTTGTCTCACGGTGGTCCTTGAACCCTGGCTAGTGTTTACTCATTGATAGAGAAAGCAAATTGAGTTCTTGCCTTTATTTCTTTGTTTTGGTAGATGACAATGAAGGAGACAAAAAGAAAAAAGATAAGAAGAAAAAGAAAACAGAGAAAGATACAAAAGAGAAAGAGAAAGAAAAGAAGAAAGGCCCTAGCAAGTCCACTGTGAAAGCTATCCAAGAAGCTCTGTCTAGGCTTAAAGAGGAGGAGGAGAGACAGAAGAGAGAAGAGGAAGAGCGGATTAAGCGGCTTGAAGAGCTAGAAGCCAAACGAAAAGAAGAGGTATGTTTTCATGGAGTTGAAAACACTGACAGTGAGTTTTCCTTGAGACCCGTCCTGTAAATATTCTCTAGTGTACATCTAACCATGTATAGTGGAACAGGCATTCATTTATACTAACTGCTCGGATATAAGTAATAAGATGGAAGAGGTATAAGAAAATCTTACCTTTGTCTCCCATGTACAGACTAAATTGTATGTGTGTATAGCTAATAATATACCCTGGTGTTATTTAAGAATAACGTATAACATTTAAACATCTTGATTTATAATCTCCCAACATAATATATTGCCTGAATCTCAAGAGCTTTGAAGTTTGTATTGCTTATTTTAAATTTGATGGTTCATTCAGCTAGTATAATTTTTATATGCCATGTATTCTTGCTCAGGAACGATTAGAACAAGAAAAAAGAGAAAGGAAAAAGCAAAAGGAAAAAGAAAGAAAAGAACGCTTAAAAAAAGAAGGGAAACTGTTAACTAAGTCGCAGAGAGAAGCCAGAGCCAGAGCTGAAGTGACCCTTAAACACCTCCAGGCTCAGGGTAAGTAGTGATCTTCAGAGCTTTTCTCATGCAGTTAGATCCCTGATACAGGAACATTAGTTCAGGGATGTGGAATTGAAGCTGTGGGAAAGGTGAGGAAAAAATGTAAGGCATAAGTGTATAGTGCTGTTGTTTAGGAGAATGATTTCTGTGCTATGATGGAAATTTGTTTGCAGATCATAAATTTCCATGAACTTGGCCCTCCCACACCAAGAAACAAATAAAAATGAAAGTGAGACCTTTTAACCCGTTTCACTGATTATCAGCCCTTTCCATTTTTGTTTTATACCCCTTATCCTTCTGAGCACTTTTTTTCCCTTGGGGTTCTTTAAAGTGACTCATAGACATTTATTTTATATTTTTTCTCCCATATTATTTGTACATGTAGCAAATAAGTATTTTACTTAGCATAATTAGAATATATATTATTACTAACAATAATAAATTTTTTTCAGAAGATTTTTGTAGGTGCATGCATATGTGTGGTCATGGAGGTCAGAGGTCGACACTGTCTCAAATGCTTCTCCACATTTTGTTTTTGAGACAGGGTCCTTGTCTGAACCTGGAGCACACCAGTTTACTAGAGTAGGTGGCCAGTGAGCTCCAGGAGTCTGTCTGCCTATCACCTCCCAGTGCTGGGGTCACAAAGGTGTGCAATACTGTGCCTGGAGTTTTTGTTTGCTTGCTTTTTAGTGTAAGTGCTGGGGTCTGAACTCACATCCTCGTGATTGCCCTGTAGGCGTTTTACCAATTGAGCCATCTAGTCTGTCCCCAAATAACTTTTATTTCTGGTTTTCTTTTTGTTTTCATTATTTTCCTCCTATCTTTCAAATGTCTTACAAATAGTTTAAATCTGGATCCAGATGTGAACCACAGATTGTATTTGGTCGATAGGTTTGCCTCTCAGTAATACCACCTACCTCCATTTTGATGTGTCATTTATTTATTGACAGTACTGAAGAGTTTACTAGAATTTTTCACATTCTGAATTTTGTCTAGTTACATTCTCCTAGTGTTGGTAAAATACTGTGCTCTTGTATTTTGTAATTTCTTAGATCTCACAGCTTGGCTGTTATTAGTGATGCTGTGTACTTCTTTACCTCAGCGGTGCTGAGATGGGCTTTCTGACTGGTTGCAGTGTGAGGTTTGACAAGTAGCCCTGTTTACTATAAAACAAAAGAAAACAAAAGCTAATCCCTCAATAATAGTTCTGATGTACACTGGGTGGTGATGTTTTATTCAGTATTCTTTAGGAATTACAACATGGGTAATAATGTAATTTTGCCTTTTATTCTACATTGAGTTAGCCAAGATCTGTAAATAAGAACTTTTCCTGAAACAGCTTTTATGCAGGAATGTCACAATAAGTGCTTACTTCTTTGCCTCCTAAGGTTTCAAAATAATCAATCAATGTCTGACAACCTTCAAAGGTGACCCATGAGTTTAATTTTGTCTTTTGTTTCTGTGAATATATTAATTTAGTGGACATAATTGATTTTATTTCTTGAAGTCAAAATGCCTTTGATACTCATTGTATCATCTTCTATCCAGTGATTTTTTTCACATTACCACAGTGTTAATTAACTTCTTCCTTCCAGGTTTACCTGTGTTTTTTGTTGTAGATCTAGAATCAGCTATTACCCAAAGAGCTTTGGTTCCTGTCCCAGTTAATGGTGTTTAAAGATGACAAATTGGTCATATAATTGTGTTTTTAACAGTAAGATTTAAAATAGTGTCTTTACTCCATTGAGAAGACTTTATTTCTGGGTCTTCCCTAATTTCTTCCTTATATTCCATAAGCTATTATGCTATCGTCACATAGGACTTGGTTAGAATTGTATCAGTAGCTCACTTATTGTGTACTTTGTAACTGATGCTGTGATGATCTTTGACACTGCTTTTCCCATGTAGAAATCATATCATTTGAGTCCTATCATACATAGGAAGTAGTGATTTACTAAGCTTAAGCAGTTTACTCAACATTCAGAGCTGAAATTTAAATGTTTTTTTTTTTTTTTGTGATGAATTCTTTATTATGTTTGTACTTAGATTTCAGAAAATTTATTCTTATTTGGGGATACAGCTTTAAAACCAGTGGTGTTAGAGGGTACATTTGTTTATAGTTAGTACCCAAACATCAGATGTGACTGGTGACTATCTAGAAAGCTAAAAGCCTTTAAGAGATATTTGGAATGGAACAGGAAGAGAAGAAGTTTTCCAAGCTCAGAAATGCTGTTTTATGGAGTAGCTAGAGATAATAATTAGATGAAAGTTAAGATTTTAAATTAATTTGGTATCAGTCTTTAGAACCTGCTTGGAAAAGATGGTTTCTTAAGAGGCATCTCTGACCCTGGTCTCTTTTCTCAGTCTTTATAATGCTGCCTAGTGCCGACAACTTCTGGTTTCCCATTGTCTAGAATTGGAAAGTTTTAATTCCTTAGCTTTATAAGAAAGGCTCTCTGACCGGGCGGTGGTGGCGCACGCCTTTAATCCCAGCACTCGGGAGGCAGAGCCAGGTGGATCTCTGTGAGTTCGAGGCCAGCCTGGGCTACCAAGTGGGCTCCAGGAAAGGCGCAAAGCTACACAGAGAAACCCTGTCTCGAAAAACCGAAAAAAAAAAAAAAAAAGAAAGGCTCTCTGCAGTCTAATCATGTGAACCATCTCAATAAAAGATCCTCTAGTGTTCTCTCACTGTATCTTTGAAAGGCAGCTCATTAAGTAGAGATAAGTTACTGCATCCATTGCCTTGCTCATTAAATCCAGAATGTGTTCTTAGCTATCTACAGGGGCTTTCTGATAATTCCTGTGAAAATTGCTGCAAGTTTTCAGTCAGCTGCTAAGTTTATTGCAGAAAAAAGCTCTTGGAGAACTTGAGTATGATGTCTTGGTTTGCTAGCTCAATAGAATATCTGAATGCACAGAAGTGCTGGTGTTGATCACAAGTGTAGTGTTTTAAGAATCCCTGTCTAGAAGAATAGTCAGTTGATTGAATCTGGGGTGATATCCAGCCTGCAGTCTCTGCATTCGGCTTAAGCTTTTTACCTGGTGGATATGGGCTGCTAGTCAGGGAAGCTGTACTATATACTTTATATAGCCTCTTTGTTTGGCTTAATATGTTTGTCTTACCATAGTTTTAACACTGATCATTGCAATTCTAGCCTTTATCAGTACCTACATGTATATACATATATTCTTATTTTAAAGTTAAAAATATTCTTAGTTTTGTTTTTTACTTTATTTAAAATCCATACTATATAATTTCTGCTGCTGCCTGTATCATAAAACTTCTGGCCAGATTGAATGTCTGTGTTAGCTGAAAGGGGTTCTGAGTGTCTTTTGGGTGTGTTATAGGAATAGAGAAGAGGGGTTGTCATATGAAACCATTCACTTGTAGGTCTGTACCAGTAATTGTAAGCTGAGAAGAGTGTATTTCCTTCATACTTAGTAATGCTCCAGACTAGGTTTGACTGGTTTGCTCTACTGTCTGAATTTAATATCTCTTTACTTCCTTTATTTGGGAGAAAACATTAAAATAATAAAAATGATAGCCATGAACTCACACATAAATAGATTAATGACTTGAAATTAGAATTTTTTACTTTGTAAGTCACTTTATTCAATCTTACTTGCATTGCTTTTTAAAAAAATAATGCAGCAAATTGTTACTCATATTCATATAAATTGACAAGAAAACAAAAGCCCAGTAGATAAGTTATTTCAGTGAGGAGGAGGCATAATCAGGAAACAGACATAATTTTGAAACATGATAAAGAGAAAATACATAAAGATAACAGTGAGAATTACTTGGCAGTTCACACTGTTAGAAGAGCCTGTGGGATTTGGACATCCACCCAGGGTTTCTGGCAGTGTCAGTTTCTACAAATTTCGGAGAACAATTTATTTATCTATCTATCTATCTATCTATCTATCTATCTATCTATCTATCTATCTATCTATCTATCTATCTATCTATTTTTGAGACAGAGTTTCTCTGTGTAGCTTTGCACCTGCCCTAGAATTCACTCTGTAGCCCAGGCTAGCCTCGAACTCACAGATCCGCCTTCCTGTGCCTCCAGTCCTAGGATTAAAGGCTTGTGCCACCACCGCTCGGCTCTTGGAGAACAATTTACCAATACACATAAAGGATCATTGAAAAACTTCCTTAACCCTGTCAGAAAACCAAGGAAATGTGGACTGTGGAATGTTTAGTTTAAAAAGAAAAAAGAGTATGACCTTTTACATAGTCACCTTTGCATTTGCTTTTCACCAGTTACGAAGCTGGCCAGGAGGCACAGAGCGTCATTATGACTCTTTGTAAAGATAATGGAAACTTGCAGTCACTTAGTAGTAGTTTTCAGTATTTCTATGATAAAATTACCACAAATTACTACTTAGCAGCAACACAAATTTTCTAACTTACAGTTCTGTAACTGAAAATTGGAACTGGACTGAGGTGTTGGCAGGACCATATATATTAGAGCTGTCAAGTGAGAATCCATCTGTGGTCTTTTCTGGCTTGTAGAGGTCATCCACATTCCATGGCTAGAGAGATTGCTCCATCTTCAAGGCCATCAGTGTTCACTCTAACTTTTCTTGTTCAGCCTTCTCTCCCACTGACAGCAGCCTCTATGGGAAAGGCTCTTCTTGACTCAAGAAAGATTATGTGATGAAGTTGGGGATAATTTCCACGTTTCACACAAGTCAAAGTACTTAACCTTAAATCATGTTGTAGTAGTTGTCTTCACTGTCTATATCCTCCTTCTCCTCCTCCTCCTTCTTCTCCTCCTCCTCCTCTACCATCTCATCGTCTCCACTTGTGGGATGCACATGAACATCTTTCATGAGGATCGATCCTTGGTCTGCCTTCCACAGTTAAAATATGTTTTCATTTTCTTTGTGAGTTCTCTAAAAGTGCAGCATTTTATTTGTGTCATGTTTCATCCTGCCTTTCAAAGATCACAATCTTTGCTGACAGAGTGATTAGCATACTACTCTGGTAT